TCTGCCAGTAACTAAGAGAGGTTTACATTACAGTATCCGGATTTGCCTAAATCAGGATTAATGCCCCCTCTAACAATTGCTAATCCTATCGAAGTTCCATTGCTAAAAAATATCATTGATTTGACACCTTGTTTTATTCTGTTTTTGCTTATTTAATCTAAATAATACACAAACTGAATTCAAACATTCTTTTCCTTTTCCATCCATTTCAAATTCTTACATAATCTTTGTCTTATGCAAAAAATGAAAGTATTATTTACAATTGTAAACGGTCAATTTGGTCATTTATTTTTATTCTAAACATTATCAGTCCTTTTCGTCTATTTCATTCTTTTACAAATTTATTTGTACTGCTTTTGTCTTCTTTTCTATACAGTATCCTAGCGGAAAGTAATAAAATATACAGTATCCCAGTGGAAACTAATCTATACAGTATCCTAGTGAAAAGTAATAAAATCAAATTGCTGTCAAATTGATCTTTCATTATTTTACGGCACATAAAAGAGAAAGGATGATATGACATACAAATGTTATGAATCAAGTGAAAATTTAATTGAAATTCAAATTTGACCAGTGAAATTTGATCGACCTTTTATTATTCAATTATATTTGATTAATGAAAAGTTCTTTTTTCAAGCAATCAAAAATTGGCAAAAAAACTTCTTTGCAGCAAATATAAAATTTAAAAGTTATTTTTTTATTCGGAAGGATAGTTGCAAGGTAGTGGTAACATAACAGTGAGTTACGATAAAATTTTGAAGTAATTGAAGGAAATGAATCAAATTTAAATTTATTAAAGAATCTGAAGCGATGATTAAAATAAGCCTCAGTTTATATCTTTTATTTTCATATCAATTTTAGAAATTATGATCAGTAACTTCATTTATTATATATAATGATATGTATTTTTTGAAAATCAAGTTGCAGGAATCTTGTTTGAGAGATTTTTCACTTCTAGAAATATCTGTATACCTAAAATAAACTGTTTCAGTGTCAGATAATCATATTGCTGATAATTCGCAATCTGAATGTTCGCCGATTCGTTTGTCAAAAGTTGCCAGACGAAGGATCAATTCTGCTTTTGTTGCCACTGTTGATAATTGCATTATCAACTCGATGGGACAGAAACAGTATGGATAAATTTGATTTTAATTTCTGCTATAATTTTAATTAAATTATCATGTTTATTATGATTTATTTTAAATTCTCGCCTTATTTTCAATTCTATGGAAAATTCAGTATATTAAGAAAATTCATTCAGTATATTAAGAAAAATTAAGAAAATATATTAAGAAAATTCAGAAAATTCAGTATATTAAGTAAAAATTCAGTATATTCTGAATTCATAAAATGAATAATTAAAATTTGGTTGCATTTGCAACCTGTTTTCCTTAAGCATTTAAATGTTCTGTTAAAATAAAAATTCCTTTATTCATCATTATGTTTGATAGAATAATTGGATCCATATTAAATTCGGATTTTAAACGGATCAGAGGAATGTTTTTAAGTGAATCAAGTGATAGTGGTGCGATGACATTTTCTGATAGCGATTCAAAACCTTCACGAATGGGTAACTTTTTTTGAAATTCTATTTCAAATGATGTAAATAGAGCAAACACAGGAAAAAGAAAAATTGAATATTCTAGAACTATAATGTAGTACTTTTGTTGAAATTCAAATCATTTTTCGAATCAAATTTTTTTTAATTTAAACAATAAATAGTTTCATTAAGTTAAGATATAGGTGAAAGTGATAACTTAGAAACAGTTGTCTATACCCGTATCAATGTTCGAATAAAAGTCGTTTATCAATTAAAAAATTTTATTCAAAATTGTTTATTTTAGAGATTGCTGAAAACAATTATCCATCTCATCGAACGATAAGTACTGAAAATATCTTCGATGAACAACAGTCATTGTCAGAATCATATCGCAGCCAAGATTTTGAACATATTTTCACGTCAAAGGCAAGAACTTTATAGTTTTAATTACGTTTGTAGTTTCTTCATCAATTACCTCAATCCTTTTCTTTATCGCTCTTCAGATCGATCGTCATAAATCATCTTATTCATGTTACTGCAGTAGAGAATCATAGAAATTTGTTCAAATTTTTATAATAAATTTCAGAAAATGAATCCGAAATGTTTTGATGTTTTGAAAGATATTGTAATGCTTGAAAGGACAGCTCTCTTCGATCTGAAAATTCTTACAGAGGTCATCATCTGTTCTTTTACTTTTCGTAAACTTCAAATAGATAAATCTGCTTAAAATTCGCAAATTTAGAGCTTTAATAAATCAAAGAAAATGTATGATTTATCATTAAATTAACATTTAAAAATTGAGTTACACGGAGTAAAATTTGTTATGAATAGCAATTGATTGAATTTAACGAATATTGACTGCTTATCTTCTTCACTACACAAATATTCAGGAAAAATTTTCGAGCATATCGGAAACTCTTATTTAATCATTTGTTTGCCTCATATATCTATGCTTTTATCTTTCATGCATGCTAAATATAAAATAGCTCGTAAAGTTTCTGTTCTTCAGGATTTTTATCAAATAATACCGGAAAAAGCATTATCATGCGGAAGAGCACTAATAGATTTATTTGTTAATTTGAAATCTCTTCAACGATTTCATGATGATCATCTTAGTACATTGGAAATTATTGTTAAGAATTGGTTTAAAGTTTTCATTTCTTATTTTTTGTGCACTCTCATTGTTAACAAAAAAAAATTCTCAATTAAAGATTTTTGAAAACTTCAACTGGAAGAATTTATATCGTAATTCATTCTCAGTTTGAATTTCTTCGAAAGGAAAAAATCATTTTGTGAAAGGGAAATTCCGCAGCTTGTTAATTTTATTATAGGGCGGACGGTCTAAGAAGTGTTAGTGCGGAACGACCGCGGGTCGGTGATCTTCTGTTATATTCAGTACGTAATGCTTTGCAATATTATCGGTTAGCTTTATTTTACACACTCTTACTTTCAATAGAATTCCGAATTCAAGATTTTTGGAAAAAAACTTCACAACTTTAACTGAGAGAATTTATATCATAAAACACCAGCAGTTTGAATTTCTTCAGAAGGAAAAAATCATTTTTTATTTTACATTTTTTAATTATTTCATAAATATGAAATATTAGGTAAGATAGTTGAAGTGTTGAGGTATGTTATTTTTTATTTCATGAATATGTGATTTTTTGAGTGCCTAAGAAAAATATTGAAATTGACTGATTCATTAAACATGTTAATAATCAAATAATTCCAAGGCGCATTCATCTTATTGATTGATATCACCGCCCAGTAATTTCACCGAGCGAGCGCTTTCGTCCTTATGCTTCCCTTTATTTCAATTGATTTTACTATTTTCATTGTTGTGCCATTACAATTACCTATTTCTTTAAGTTGAGATACTTTCTTTTGCATGCTTCAACATTTTAACTATCTTACCTGCTTTTACTTAACTTTCTCTTATTGCTTATGTTTTATTAGCCATATAATAAGTATTCGTTTAAACGAATTTATTCATATATCGCAGTATTAAGCTATTTTAAATTTTTGAAATTTTCAAATTAAATTGTGAATTTCTAAAGTTTTTAACCAAAAATCTTATATTTTAACTAAAAGATTCTTTCAAACTTGAAAAAAAAAATCAAAAAAGAAAATAAATTTCTCAATGTTTAGAAGATTAAATACTACTATGTAATAGTTGTTATTCAGTAATATTTAAACTTCTGAAATCTCTCTTACTCTTGATAGTTGAGATAGAGTCTAGTGGAGTATTAGAGAAATTGGTAATTGCTGGTGATTATATATCAATCAATAATCATCATATTTCCATTTAATTGTATACCAATCAATAATCATATTTTTACTTGCAGGAAATTTGTACAAAACTCTCCAATTTATTTGGCAGCTATTGATGAATTAACTCGTGTCAACAGCACTTTTGCTAATTCTCTCATTGAACTGCAAATGAGAAATTTCTACAGTTGCAATATTAATTTTTTGATGCTAAAAGTGATACATCGAATGGTTGTATGGCAGAGTGTAAGATTTTCAAATTAATTTTACTTGCATACTTACCTATGCTTAAGAAAAGATCATGTAAATTTATCATTTTTGCATCAATACAAATGAAATTTAAAGGCTGTAGGTCAAAGTTTAATGACAGGTTTTAGGATATAATTAATGACAGAAATTTAGTTACTTGGAAGAATGGTGGCTGCACTTCTGGAAGAGAGCAGTGAAGCTAAGATAGCATCACAGTTAAGCAGTTGTCGAGTTGCCATGGAAGAGGTTGGTAATATTTATTTAAATTTAATTTTAATAGATAAATACAATTCAACTACTTGTTGCACTATGTCGTAATTTTACATTAAAAAGAAGTCTGAAATCATTCGGATCATGTCAATTCTACTCTCCACTTTCTCAAATATTCCCTTTTTTTCAGCAAACATTTATTTAGGTTGCATCGTTTAACGCTGAAAAAAAATCTACACTGGAAGGATTGGTCCATTTTACAAAATTTGTTGAACTTGGAAATGATTTGAATATTGTTGATGGATTGACCGATCCAAATCGAGTAATTCTGATTTCTTGCATGAACCTCAATTTTATGCATTATTTGAAATTACAATTACCTTTTGAATTTTGATAATTTTTATATATTTTATTTTAATGAATTTTATACATTTTACCTGTTTTCATTTCATATCAGTTTACGGAATCTTTGAGTTAATTTTATAGTATATCAATTGAAGCGAGATAAACTATTGTTTTGCAATATCCAGTAAAAGAATTTTATTGCATATTGCAAGACTGAAATAAACATTAATTAAATTCTATCAAAGATTCTTTTGAGCAGAGTTGATGAATATCTGTGTTACATACCAATATGTCACAAACTGGCGAAATATTTTACTCAATGTCCGCATATTGTGATAGAAAACCTTACGATCTTTAGCGTTTTCAACAGGATCGGGTATATGTATTGACAGTAAAGTGTCTGCTATCATGTCTGCTATGTCTGCTATCTTTTTTCCTTTTTTCATCACTAGACATATTCTATAGCAGATAAAATTTAATTTTCAGAGATTTATACGTCAAGGATGGTTATGCAAATGGACAAAACGTGGTTTCATACCGCACGCTGTTATACTTTTCAATGATGCGTTGTTGTTTGCTTACCGATCACAAACGGATGGCTTTATACGCAATGCTTTTCTACCCTTACGGACTATGACAGTAAAACTTCGTCTTATTCACCCTTTGTCGATAATTAATTTCACGAATTTACTTCCATATAAGCTATCGGCCTCAATTAGCCATAAACTCACTTAGCCAAGATGGAAATTTTGCAGGTGGAAGAAGGCGACACATTACATGTCGTCATTGATCCAACAGTTTGTCTTACCATACAAGCAGTAAGCCGTACATTCTTGCTATCTGGTGATTGCACAAGAGTTCGAGATCTTTGGCTTGAAGAATTAACGAATGCTATTCGAAGTGCCAAACAATCCAAAATCGAGGAATTACCTCAAACTGAAACCTTTGGTTATTTTAAATTTTTGTTTAATTTAGTAAAAAAATATAAAAAGCATAATGTTAGAATATTGGAGTAATTTGAAATTATTATTAACAAAATTCCATTAGCAGATGGATTATATCAAAAAGATTGGATTAGTTTTTTCCAAGCTTCTTTTCAAAAAATAGATGTCATTCATAAACTATACCTTTGCAATGATAAGAATTTCGAAAATTGCAGTTCTTTGCATCCTTTTCGAATTTATTTCAAATTATTTATATTTAAATTTAATTTCGAATTCCGCTATTATTTTCTTATTCTAAAGAAAATACTTCATTCTCTATACAATGTGAAAATTCAACTTTCTTGCACAATTACTTGTTTAATTTTTATAGTGATTACGGAAGGAAGCTTAAACGATAAATTTACGCAATGTAGTGATATGTGGGATTCATTTGAATCAACCAGTCCGCTTGGTTCGCTGTTATTTTACTTTCAGAATTTGACACACATTTAAAAATTTCCATTCAGTATTTTTGTCATAAATGGTACTTTAAATTGCAGTATTAAATGATGTATATAAATTTAGCAAACTAAAATTTTGATAATTTATTGATGTTTATAGGGGATCAATTATAGTTATCGAAGTTATTTGTTTCAGGTATAAAAGCTACTGCAACAACGCTATACAGTACGCTTGATGTATGTTGGTATCGTCATGCTACTTTAGGAATTAATGCAATTATTGCGGTAAATTAACATATTTTAATTGATATTTCAAAGATTTAAAGGTTGCAAGAAGTCATTTTTTAATTTTTAAAAGGATTTATTATTCTTATTTTTTGCCTTTTTTTAAGCTTACAATCTTATTTACTATTCCTTCAGGCTCCGGCTAATCAGATGTCTGGATATTTGTTGCGTAAATTCCGCAATTCCGCCGGATGGCAAATATTTTGGGTTGTACATGCAAATTTTGCACTTACATTTTTTAGATCACATCAGGTAGTATTGATTGTCTTAACAACAATGCTTAGAATCATCCATGTCTTGTCAACTATTTGATGAATTCACAATGACTGCATGTTGAAGGAATATCTTTCTAAAAAATGCTTTTACAAGATATGTTTGATCATTTGCAAGAAAACGAAACTTCAAATTAGAAAACTTAGATTAGACATCTAATCAATCAACAACTAGTGGATTCAATGATATAAGAAATTTTAGGAACGAGAACCGGTAGCGGTATTACCAATTATCAATTATCATATATCGTTGCCACAGCTTAATGATAAAATTAGTTGTGATAACGTTTTCAAAGTGTCATATAATACACATTGTTATTTCTTTCGAACTGATAGTTTATATGCCTTCTCAAAGTAAGTTTATTAATAGACTTCGCCGTTATCGAAATTCAACTTCTTCGTCTGGTAGTTTGAGTTGTGTTATTACTTCCAGTCACCGTAGCTTTCATCTTTATTAAATTCTTATTGAATTCATGCAGATCTCTCATCCAAATAATACTATATTGCCACGAAAAGAAAAGTATTAAACTGACAATCTAGAAACCTCAAGATAAAATTTTAAATTAGAATAAGATTTCACATATTTTTCCAAATAAATCACTTATAGATATATTGAAATTTGAGAAATCAAGAGTTTTGGGAAAAAATTTGGAATTTTGAAGAAGTTCTGTGCTAGAAAGAAATAACAAATTATAAATTAAATAAGAAAGCATAAATTATTCAATTTCCAGATGGTACGAATGCATCCATGAATCAACCATCAACAGTAGCCCTCTCGATCTCATTGCAGGTTCTCCATCCAAATAACACCACATTGTCACCAAATTTGTTCATTTAAGCCGTGTTGACCCAATCACCATCTGCAACTTTCTTACAGTTCCATTGCATATATATATATATATCTGATATAAATGAAGCAGAGAGACAGAAATAAATCAGGGCAACATATTACCACCTACCTCAAATGTTTTATTCAAAATGAATGAATCCTAATCAAATATTAGTTAGTGCGGTATGCCCATCGACCAACTTTCAACTCATCCGTTTACTTATCACTCACTCAACTCAAATATCAGTTCACTTATCTTCTTGTTCAAGCATTCTCGAGTCATATATGCATAATAACTTTTATCTCTTTTGTTGATGTATATGTACATTTGCTTTATGCAAATCACATAGTAAAGACCGTTGTTTCTCACTGCTTGATCTCTGGCCAGAAATTGACAAATTTATTGAGCTCAATTGTATTTAATCAAAAATTACCGATTTTTGGAAAGGAAAAATTTTTTCACGTTAATAAATAATAATTTATTTCAGCTTTGTGACAAAAGCAATTTGAAGAAATATTTAATATACAATGTTGAAATATAAAGGGATCATGTGTACGGTTTAAAATGTCGGAAAGCATTAACGACTTAATAATGTCTCATAATATTATACAACCTATGCCATACGTTAATTGAAGTAAGAAGTACACAACTTATTAATCAAAGCTAAACCAGTACTGCTTTGATATATGAACCTTTCGAAAATAAAGGCTTGAATAAATCTGCATTTAGAATGTATTGAAACATTCCATTGCAGGTGAGATCTGAAACGCATAGATATACTACTTGACTTTTCCTTTCACACTGTTCTTCATTATAGCAATAATTATCGTTACAGCACAGCAAATAACCGTGAAAATGGTAATAAATAAAACGAATTTAAGAGAAGACGCATTTCCAGTTGGTATTTTGAACTGTGCTTCGTTGTACTTCAACAACGGTATCATCAACCATTCGCAGTGTGATTCGTTTGAACAATCACAAGATGCCTGCAAGAAATAAAGCAGTTTGAAATTTGAATTAGTCGTAAAAAGACCATTTCAAAAAGTTTTCATTGCCATTAACATCGTCATCATAAATGATTCATAAAGGAGAAGTAAACCACATCAAGTAAATCACATCTAACATAACTAAAAAATTTTTAATACAGAGCATAATTAACATCCATACTTTAACTAAATATCTTTTACAGTGGCTGGTAAGGAAAGTTGAATTTTCCAAACATCTCAAAAGCAGCTGTGGAGCAGGTATTGTTACCACAGCATCTGAAATCAAAATCTATTCATGAGTATTTTTAAAAATATAAGCAAACACTTTTTTCTCTTATTAATTAACTTATTTTCTTGTAGACGATTTATCGAAGAATATCAATGAATTAAATGGAATAGTCTAATAACTAGTAACATGAAAGAAAATTTGTATGAAACAACAACACGCAATATACATAATATTCAACGGCTAATTATTATTATCAAGTTATTTTAACGATTCAAGAAACAAAGCAAAACCTTTTCCGGTAGCAGCATGATAACGCAGATGTAGTGGTAGCTCAAAGTGCTCGTTGTAAACGAAATTTTTCCTTAGTCCTCGTTTTGAACATATATAAAGTGGTGTATTTTCCGATTCCTCTCTTGAAGCCTCGACGTCGAATGATGCCTTTGCACACGTATGAGTTCGGTGTGCTTTCATACTATAACATTGCTTCTGGACAAAATTTCATTTTCCTTCCTTCCTTCCTTCCTTGCTTACAGAAAATAAAAATAGAAAAATTATTTTCCCTTCTTACGAATCAAAAACAATAAGTACTGTTTACAGCATTCCGCTCTTTCAAATTTGCTCAAAGTGGTCTTGTAAACATTTTATATAGAAGTCATAGGTCACGCAGTTTTGCGACATAACGATACCAGAAGTTCATAGAAGCTTTAAGAAAGCCAGAAGATACGACGGTTCACGTTGTGAGAAGATTATGCTGCATAAACTAGCCATGTTAAATAAAAATGTTAAATGTAATAGATCTGAAGGGTAGCATAAAATGTTTATGTGACATTGACAAATCCTCTTTCAAAAATAACTTTGGTTTGTTTTCAAAATCTACTATGTATACCTTTTTTATTAGTTATTATGGTGATCTAAACTTCAAACAAATACCTGTCAAGATCGACATATGCACCTGCAGGGATCGTAAACTTATAAGCAATTAAACAATCCACAAATCGATTTGAACTACCGATATTGACATCCAAGCTAAGATGCCGATGGAGACCACTACCACGCCCATGAAACCAGATACTTTAAGTTGAAAAGCTTAGCAAACAAAAACAAAATAGTGGATGTTAATTAAATTAGGCATTCTTGAGACAAGAAAGATTTCGAATTCAAAAAGAAAATCTCTAAGGCTGATAAAAATAGCTTAATGTTAATTTAAAGATTGTAAAATAAACCTTTATCTCAGCCTTACGTATCGCTATAGCATCAATCCAATCGCAACGTTGACAAGAAACTAAGCCCAATAGAGCAAAAAAGAGAAAAATATGAATAATCATGCTACTCCAGATACTTCCTCCATCGAACTATAAAATTTAATAATTCATAATTTCATTTGAAAATATCATTTACAAAAATCTCATCGAAAAATTTGATATTGCGTTTTGGTCTTCCCAATATCGAATTATTGTCGAAAGTATTGCAAATATCAGAAGCTTCAAGGACAAGCTTGAATTTGAGATTTGTAATGAAACACAAAAAGATTCAGTGATAATACGGAATCCACCATCTTTTATTTCCAGTTCCTTCCATATCAGTAAGTCTATTGATTGCCGAAGTTAGACAAAGTAATACGACAAAACTAATGAGCTTCAAAAAGTAAAAATGAAATTTCACAGTCATTTAAAAAAAACTTATTTCTTTCATACATATTCGCACAAAAACGAGTAATGTAAAATTGCGAATTTCAACAAATCTCTATTTTCTCATCTGCAAGTTTCATGCGGACAGAACTAATATGAAACATAATCAAAAAAACTTTTAATTATTGCATTATTCAATGTGACAGATTCGCAAATGGAAATAGAATAGCGGATATGAATTTATGAACTATCAATATCTTATCCAGATCTCGCTTTTCTTAAGTTGTGTGAATATATTCGAAGCATTTCAATCAACAAAAAGAAATGCTTTTTTGTTTGGCTAAAATCAAGCGTTTTCCTAATTCAAAAGAATTCATTTCCTATATTCCTATATTTCGACAGACAACCACACAGATGTCTTAATAGTATGTAGGAATAATAAGAACTCTGCATCCATAACTTTCATGCTTCTGTAAATGAAAAGCTTTAGAATTTTAAGCAGAGAAATTAAAAAAAGAATATAATTTACGGAAAAAGAGATAATAAATACATATAACGAAGCATCACTGCAGATTCAGTTCGTTTTTCAAGTGAATGAATTAAGTACTGAGAGCAGCAGCAGTTTCTGTATTTGAGTCAGCATCACCCCGATTGCGATGATGTGGTCTTGTAACGATTTTTGATCCTTCTGACTGGAATAAGTAAATTTACATGTGAAAATACAGCAGTTATCATAGTTCGATTAGCAAAAACAATGAATGCTGCGGCACAAAGAGAATGATGAACAGGAACTTCAAAATATGAGAAATAACAAATTAGGAAAACTATAAGGCAAATATACAACAATGAACAATATTTACTTGAAAATGCGCGTTCATCTGTTCCGAAATATTAAGTACTTCGGCAATATCAGGACGTTTACTCGGATTTGAACAAATGCATCGAGATATTAAATCACGTAACTGAAAGCAATATTAACTTTTATAATACAACTACCCACCAGATCCTGTTGTTATTACCTTTACGATATCTATAAATATTAAGTACAGCTATTTTGAACTCGAATAACTAGGTAAACTGACAGAATATACTCAAAATAAAACCTGTTGTGAATAAATATCAGCTGGTAAAGGTGGATATTCGCAACTCTCAATCTTTTTGCACAATGAATATAAGTTCAATTTATCACCATAAAATGGTGACTGTAACGCAGCCATCTGCAAAAATTTCAAACATGAAAAATACGAGCAATATTCATTTAGTGTAGGATTATAATCCGATCCGTTACAGGATTTCCAAGGATTTCCAAATTATTCTTTATTTCATCCGTTCGTCAAGTTTTATCATTCAATTTATTTCAATTTTATTGTCAACATGTGACTGATCTTTATTTAAATTCACCGTTGTTTAACCATTCCAGCTCCCAAAAAGTGATGAGGTATTTAGCAAAATTCCGAGGTAGGATAAGAAATTAAAGAATTTATGAATTCAAGTTTTGGCAGGCAATGGCTTGCACCAACCTACCTCATACAACAAGCAACCAATGCTCCACAAATCTGATTTGAAATTATATCCATTCTCTTGTATCCTTTCAGGACTCATATAGTACGGTGTACCCACTAAAGAATGTGCCGCTGTAGTTTTTGAACTAAAAAATCTGCCAAGACCAAGATCTCCAAGCTTCACGGCACCATCCACAGTAATGAACACGTTTGCTGGCTTAATATCTGCACAATACATCAAATAATTTATTTAAGAAATATACTTTTCTATTATAATAAACAAGAATGTACAGGTGAGTAGGGATATAACGAGGTGAAGGTATATGATGAAGATAAGCAATAAACAAGAATGAAACTGACATTTAAAGAACTAGTAAGAATATCTTACTCATAGCTTGCGAAGTAAGCGAAAATCTACCTCTATGCATGATTCGCTTCGAATGCATGTGTTCCAATGCACGCACTAACTGCACAAAATATTTCCAAATGGTGCGTTCGGGAATAAGACGTCTACTTTTTTTGAAGTGCTATACAAACATATAAAAATTAAGGCATATAATTTCTAATAGTGAGTGTGATAAATAACGAGTGGATAACAAACATTATGTAAATTTAAGAAAGTCACAATGCCATTAATGAGAAAATATGGCAGTGATAAATTGGGATAAAACGCTTGCCAATTCCACTTTATCGCATGTTTCATGTGCATAACAAGCCCGGTATTATATATATGCCTGCATTAATTTTCTGTTGAACTTCGAAAAAAAAAACTCTGCACACTAACCCGTATCATACGACTTAGATCACCTGCGTCCGCTAGCTCCAAAACAATATTTAATTGATTGTTTTCGATAAACGAAGCATAGTACCGAATAACGTTAACATGATTCAGTTGTTTTAGAAGATCAATTTCTTTGATACAATCCTGTCGGGCCTTTGCATCGACCATATCATAAATCTTAAACAGGGACGTAGAATGGATACGAGAAGATTCAGATATTACGCCGGACTGACAATTTGCCGGATTTTAAAGATTTTTTCATTAGGAGATCTCAGCTTTTTTTATTAGTGGTTGTCCCCATACTATAATGACTGTCACCAAGGAAATAAATGAACTTTTCATTATCATAGAATAAATACATCACAAGGTACTTAAATCTGAAAAGAAGCTCGGTATACCCGAATAAAGCCGTTTTTTTAAATTGCAATGGACACATCTGATGAATGGCAAGTACTAATCAAAATCTTATTGGAGTAAACTTTTAGCAAATAATAACCTGAACTTTCTTCAATGCAACATAGCTGCCGTCTTCTTTACATCGTGCCTTATACACTTCCGAAAATTGTCCTTTACCGATTTTCTTCTCAATTTCAAAAGCATCCAATTTTCCATATCTTGCTGATAAATCATTTGTCGACATTTTCTTTTTTCTCTTAGATTGCAATACATAAAAAGATATATGTAAATATGTTTCTGCAGAAATAAATTTGTGTTTGCGTGGAAAATCGTACGTTATATGACAAATATCTAGAAGATCTATTCAGCATTCTAAATCATAAGTTATCAGAAAAAATCAGAAAACTGAGATGAAGCGTAAGACGGGAAAAATCCAATGATAGTAAAATGCGAATCATTTAGAAATCACTCATTTACTTCGATCTATAAAATAGAAAGTAGAGAAATTTCAATTGCTTCTTAATGTTTATATTTACAGTCATAGATTATGCTTAGAAACATTATATTAATAAAACTTAAAATTTCTCTTCTATAAACGTAGTAAGTGCAGAATTCTCATTAGCTTGATATTAATGTTGCTAACACTCAAAAAACATGAAAAAAATCCAAAATTTCGAAAAACCTAAAGAATGGATAGTTCTATGTTTCCAATAAACAATAATAACATGGATACGATGAGAACGTGCGGTGGTATAGCGATAGGATCGCTCACACCAGTCTGCGCGATTCTTTTCGCTCGTGGTAGTGCGATGTCTCATCTCAGTCAGTGTATGACATGGTAATGCGCGGAATGTGCCATAAGACACTGCTGGAAATGGCACTCTTATTTGCAGCTTTGAAAGTAATACTTAAAATGACCGAAAGATTGCCTTTTTATGTAGTTGGTTGCGGTGAAATTATCCTAATATAGTAATAATGCTATCCTCCAAGTGTTTCAACTGCCATTATGGATATGAACAAAGTCATACAGTGGATTATAAAGTAGAGCATGAAATTTCATGAAAAAAGCATGAAATCTAAGCGAAATTTTTATTCATGAATCATATCAATAGCACTTCATTTCTTCAAATTCCTTGATGTCACTTCTTTTAATTCAAGAAATTTCGGAAATTTTAGAGATCTTTAATATCTTAGCAGTTCTTGACCGTGTTAGTTATATAATAAATATATGGAATGTTTTGCACTTACCATTAATTAATCACCGCATGATTGCTTTGAATTGCCAGTATCCATCACCCTGTTAATACATCGTTAGTGCGGCAGGATACAGTTCACCCGACCATCCTAGTAATTTGTTTTTGGAATAATTTGAAAAAATTACTTTGAACGAGCAAGATTCAGAATGATTACATTATCTATATATCTGTTAAATTGCTTCGATTCTCAATATCATTAAATTCAGATTATTTAAAATGATCACTTCTTGATCCTCATAAATAAAACATGAAAAAAGATTTCACTCATAATAATCTTATCGTTATTCGCATATATCATGCAGAATGTTAAATAACTTATTGCAAATCATGCATTATTGTAAAAAAAATTAAATAAGTTATTGTAAATCAAAGCTGTTGTGAAATAAAATCCAAAAATCTAATTTTTGATTGATGAACTGAACAATGACGTCTATTTTTGTTGGATATGGATAGCGAGTACAACAGCAATCCAAAATTTTATCAATAGTGAAAGTTTTCTATATATCAGATAACTTTAGTTCTATTCTAATTAAAAAATAAATCTTAAAATACCGTTATCTTGAAATATCCGAAATAATGCTACTCCGCAACCTAATCCCTCTCTTCTCCATCTTTGGTGATACTTGTGACAAAATGCATTTCGAAGACAATTTAACCTGTTTAAAACAGCACGATATTACAAAAAAGAACAAATATACAGTACTGCACATATACAGCGATTGAAAAAAGAACCGCCAGTTTGAGTTTGAAAAAATCATCTGTTTCGCGCAGAACCGGGAAATAATCCAAAATTTGAAATGAAAATATCAAATTCAACTATATTATCTCAGAATCTGCTGTCATCTTCCCATCAAACTGCAACCATAATCACTGCTACGAAAAAAACGCTTCACCTTTCTTATACTCTTATCGAGAAATAAATTTGTCGGCAAAACCTCTTTTATCTAATCCACCTCTATCCATAACCTCGTCCAGCAATTTCATAGCTAGCTTAATGCACATCAAATTAAAATATTTTTCGAGAAAATCGAAATTTTTCCTAGCCATTTCCACGTCACCAAGCCGAAGTGCCATTACAAATTCATAAAAGTAGAAATATAAATCCTTGGATAATGAAGAATCTTTCGGTGGCAGTTTTTTCCATGGTACTTTCTGTTCCTTTTTTGTCTTCTCATCAAGTACCAGTGACGACTTATCATACATTGATAGCAGTAAACGATGTCGGGCAGATATATCATCATTCTGCAAATTCAATTTGAAAAAAGCATCTGTAAGATTGTACTCACAAACTTTAGGATTAACATGTTATCCTTCCGCATTGATGACTGACACTTTTTAACGCAAATGTACATAGTCGTTTCCTCCCTTGAACCTAGGCTTTAAAAGCATCATTTCACCGCCTAATAAACGTTCGAAACTCTTCTTTCGGTCATCTTAGCCCGAACATACGCGTAATTCTAATTATATTCTTTCTTATAATTCACGTAATTCTTTCTTATAACTGAACTTTCGGCTTCCTTCACGATAATGTCAACACTTGATAACACAATACCTATATGAATATCACTTAAACCCTTTTTAAGTACCGTGTTCATTTTTTTCAGTCCAAATTGGACCAAATAATACAACACACCGAAACTGAAACTGAAATCATAAACAGTAAAAAAAATGGTTGCGAAACAGTTACTAGTTACTCAAATTCTGGTAAATAAATTGCTCTAATTATGTTAAATTATATAACTCCGTCGATAAATTTCAAAATTGCTTACTTTCCCCTGTAACAGCAAAAGCACTGACGCAATTTCGCAATCCCTCAGAAGTTCTTCACCATAACCAAATCTAAAAATTAAAAATATCTCCATTTATTTAATATTTTCAGAAAGTCACTTTGATTTTAATCAAGACAACACGACGATTTAGCGAAAGATTTTTACAAATTATTGGAAGTTCAGAATTTAAAATCTCTTGAATTATCATTATTTTCGAAAAGAAAAGCATCCCACTTTGGATCATCTGTATTCTTCATATGAACTGCCCACAGATCATCAACAGTTGCAAGTGCATCTGCATACATCTCCAATTCAACCTGGCAGGCTGCTAATTTTTGTAAAGCTGCTAAGCGGCTATGAAATTCCACTTTCAAAAATTCGGCTCCTTAAAAATAAATATAAACATGTGGAGACAAAGTAAAAATATTTGCAGAAAGATGAAATAATCTGAGAATAGTTAATCAATTAACAATCAAATATTATCATTCATCGTAATATAAACATTTATTAACAATAAGTTTTTCACTTTTCATTTTCAAATATAAAATGAGACTTTAGAACTTTCGAATGCAATGAAACATACAAAACCTCGTAACAAAAACGGTAACGCCAGCTGATGTTCATCAATGTTGAACAATATGGAGCCTAGTTCAGTGCAGTGCAAACCGGCCAACCAAAATCCCTGGTGATCGAGAATTAACTGGATTGCTCGGTTGTAACAATCCTGCATATAATTCAGATGGTCGGAACAGGCTGCAATAACATAAGCTATAAGTGACTAGTAAATTGTAATGATTTGCTGAATTAAATTTGTTATTTAAACATCAAACCATTTAATCAACCTATCGAACCAAATAATTGTCCTTTTTTTTGCGTTTATCTTCGACATGCAGCGCTCTTTCTGTGAGCGATAGGTTGATTTTTTTCAAATATTCTTCTTGTTATATCAAATCAATATAATGCATATCCTTGACAGCAATTGATGAACAATTGATAACAACACTTCTATCCGCTTTCTTAAGAAGACTTAAAAAAACGATGAAAAATTCAGTTTTGCGCTGGAAACTGCGAATAAGATCTATTTGGTTCTAAGGAAACTTTATAATTCAGCCGCTATCGTAGCGAGTAATAAATCAGATAGCTCCCTACTATTTATTCATTTCGTAATTCTGTATTTTTGCATTTTTGAAAGCAAAAATTTATAAACAAGTAGAAGAGTACCAAATATGTTCATTTCGTAATTCCGTATTTCTGCATTTTTGAAACATCGAGCAGCCTTCAGATAATGAGTATACTGCATGCTCCAGTCACCCATTTTTTCATTAATTTTTGCCATTTGTATATAACACATACCTGCATATTGTTCACATTCTTCATCCCTAAAATGATTTGTAAAAGCAAAACAGAAAAAATCGTGTAAGAGCTCAAGTGAGAGCACTATTGCAGAGTTTTTGTATTTATTTCAAAATCCTCGTTTTCTGTCGTTCTTCCCTTCCTCATGTTTTCTTAATTACCTTATATAGAAATACAATATTCAAACGAATCATTCAACCAGATGGCCGTAAGTAGGAATGGAACAAACCCTTTTATTTTGCAACAAAATACAAAAAGACTCCACTTCCTATATTCATAATCTCGAAGCAAGACTTCAATGGGACGTGAGTTAAGCTAATGATTGACACAACTCAATAGGCCTAAGGATTTAAAGGATTAAAAATCTACTGGAAACGTAATGCAAGGTTCGCAAGCTCCGCCAAAACTTGTTGATTATTAGGTTTTTTCAGAAATTTCTTTTTTAGTGAATCTAATGCTGATTTGTATTCTTTCCATGGATCTCTGTAAGGTTCAACCATAACATATACCAATCGCCGAGTAAAACTGAAAATAAGGAAATGGACATTTCCGCAATCATGCCGCGAATAAAGATATTTTCAGCATTAAAAAAAGAAGTTTCTTCGGAATTTAGAAAATTTGACTTCTCTTATCCACAAAAAACATTCCATATCTCGCTAGGACTGACAAGGTGACCAAAACAGCTACGAATACAATCTACAGAGGCAAAATTGTCCCATAGATCTTGCTGTTTATAGGCATTCGCCTACAAACTGCTTAATGTACAAGTAAATTCAATTACTTATACCCAACAGCTTTCGGTATTAGACGGCAAAAATCCTAACATTCCTTACAACAACAGCGCGTCGTAATCCCGGACAATTCATACTAAACTGATACAAATTTCGGATGGCACACAATAAACTCCCGGAATCGTAAAAGTTTTCTCGACCATTAAACCAGAACAGAAATAATCCCATATAAAAAATATGTCCAGGAAATGACTCTTTTGTGTTAGCAAATCAACAGCGTGAGATCAGTACTTTATAGACGTATGTGCATACATATGTGATACAAAATATGTAATTTAGTCAGAAGACAAACAATCGATCGATTCAATGTCTAATTGAAAAGTGATCCATCATCTCCCTATCAATATCTGCTATCATGGATGATGCATCCAAACGCATTGCATCATATCGCAATATACAGTCATCCATTTTTTTTTCAGCTCGATCTTCAGCACTGAAAATATACAGTTGTCCATTTTTTCTTTAGCTCGATCTTCAGCACAATTAATTGTTTTTAAGCTATCAGACTCAATAGAGGCAAATTTAAAGGCTTTAACACAGGAGCATAAAAACATCCCATACCACTCGTGGTATTCTCCGACATTGGTGGTATTTCCACAACCTGATCTTAACTATTAATTCCCATTTTACAATTGAATGCAATGCATTTTCTAGAACGAAAAGTTTTTAATGTTCTCACCACGACATGTCAAACAAAATTTACTCATTAAAAAATACAGTTAATCACCTAATAAAGTGGTTGTCAGATGGTTTGCTGATAATTTACTGGTGGTCATAGACACCAAAGGAAATGCATATCATGAACTTAATCTTTTTTTAATCTCACATTGCAACATCAATTTTTTGCTCCATAAATCAAATAATACAAACTAACGCTGGAAAATTAGGTTGATTTTGGATTTCAATGATATAAAAAAGCATACTTTTGAATAGCATAACTCAAAAAATTGAAGTCATGCAAAATTAGAAATTCTTTCAAATCGTGCGTTAACTTCAACAATTCATCTGCAGCTCGTACCTGAAAATTCGCCTCGGAACTTTTAATCATTATCACGGTAATTTGTCGATTAAAAGATACGATGTTCATTATTCCTGATAATCACCTACTAAAGTGGTTGTCAGATAGCTTGCTGATAATAATTTAGTGATAACAACCAGAAATTAGAAAAATCCAATAAAGATTTTGATGCTTATGACCAGCAGCAAAGCAAATCCCACGGTGACATAATGGTATAAAGGAAGCCATCAATGATTACTCTAAATCTTTTTTAATATAATCTGTGTTTGTTTTACATGGAATGATCAGCGCTGAATTTACTGCCAGTTCCGCATTTTAATTTTGGAAAGATTTCTGTGTTCAATCTAGTAAGCCACTTTTTTTGAAAAATATAAATAAATTAATTTAAGATGGGCCTACAGAAATGTTTGCCTCAATCAAAATTTTCTGAGCAAATTCAACAAATTCGATAATTGTGAAAACTACCGCCAACCATTAGAGCAGCTCGTGCAGCAGTTTCGTTCCTCATTGTATAATAATCACTCATTCGACCTACTGGATTTTTGTGCGCTGCATCGTCAATGTTAATCTGCAAGCCGACTTTATCGAGCAGAAAATCAAGAAAAATAACTACCGTTACTGAGAAATCATTTTTTTGAATTGTAAACTATTGAATTATAACACAATCTCCTGATAGTGATGTTATAATGACTGCACAATTATGGTCTCATGCACTAGTCCTAAAATCATTTAATCAATTTTTGGATTTACTTATGCTGAAACTTACTTAGAATGACATATCATTGTTTTGGACGAAGAATGTGCAGTTCACCGCTGCGTAAAACTTTCGAAAGCATAAGCATTAAAAAATAACTGATCAAGAAGAATGTGGTAACCTTTGCAACGGAGATAATATTGATAAAATTATCGTTCAAAGATTTGATGTTATCCTTTAATCGCCGTTTATATTCTTGCACAATCAGCGCTTTCGTTGCTATATTTCGACCGCTTTTCCTCACTGTTGCAGCTGATACTTGAGCCATGCTTTATTCAACAAAAAAGTCAATCAACTTGAATAATTTTCAACTTGAAAAATTTAAGTTCAAGTAAATCAGCGCATGTTTTGGCAGAAGTCCATTAATATGAAAATAGCTAATGGGAGATTAATGTACAATTTCGAGAGATTAATGTACAATCAAAACTGTCTAACAAATGTATTTTGACTCGGGTATGTATCCCCCCGCGAACGGTTTTCCCCGCGAACTTTCACTTACGTACCCAATTCCCACGTCCCACTGCAATTACGGAAACGCATATTCCATTTGAAGGAGTTCAGTGACATGGCTTTCTGCCTCCATTCTAGGTTATTTATAAGGTAAAGAGTGCAAAGTGACATAAAACGTCCCCTATACTGGGGCACCACACGTACTCCTCTACTCTTTCCCCATCCCTTTGCTTCTACCTATTTCTCTCCACCTCCCCATTTCTCTCCCTTTCTATTATATTACGTAACTACTACACATCTCCTAGTTCTTCGGAAATCAGTACTCTCTAGATTTTGCATAGCTGTCTGTCACCTCAACACGTTCTAAAAGAGAATCACTTGACGGGATGTCTATTGACATTGTCATGAACCGTGGTGGGTTTCATCAGTGTGTCATTCCTTTCTTGCCAATAGCTATAAACTTTGAGTCTATAATTGTGAAAATTTAGTTCTATAACAACAACTCCTTTCTGTAATATATCCATTTCGTATTTTTCCCAAAAACGCTGCCGTGAGCGTATTTCTCCTTTTTATCAGTTGTAACGAGCAATTTTGTTTTACATAGAGAAGTGAAGAAAATGTGAACATTTATGAAATAGAAATAAATGATTTGAAGAAATAGTTTAGAAAGCTAAACGGTGGTAGTAATGTCGAACGCGATGTAAAGAAATTTCAGCCATTTCTTTCATTTATCTTTCGATCTTAGAAAAATTTATTCTTCATTCTTTTGCAGCCATCAGATTTCAGCCCAGTTTTGGTATGGTCATACTCAGTGACTGGTGAACTTCAAATTAATTGTATTATGATGAAACTGAATAAGCTGGTATTGAAAGGAAAGTATTGGTCAGTTTGCAGCCATGAAAGAAGTTCATAATGTCTGTCGATTTTCCGCAATATGTCACCAAACTGCAAAGTTATTATGATTATTTTTTTCTGCTGCTTAAAATCTTTGTTAGTCTAAAGAGTGATATGAAATCATGCAAATTACAAATTTTGTATAATTTACTTTCTGCTTTTATATTCCCTTTCACAGCTGGTAAATGCAAACTTTAATATCCATTATCTTACATACACGACAAGATGTGATACACTAGGAATGATGGAATTATTATACGCTAATGTTGGGGTTAGCAATATGTGCATAACTTTCGAATAGTATATGTGTGTTAACTTAGATAAGCTCCTGTGATCATGCCTGCTCCATTATGCATGGGATTTCTAAGGAAAAAAATTCTATTAATATTTCGGGTATGATACGATGTCTGACTTCTATTTATGAAGCATCAAGTTTTCTTCCTTTTCGAAATCTATTTAAATCTAGATTGGGTTATTCTTTAAAAAATTGTTCTGAATGAAATGTTCAAAATAAAAATAAGCTGAAGTTATGCATTCCAGAAAGTCTGTCTCGTTTATCGGAAGTCATTACACCGTTATATGGCCTTTCAGCAGAAACTTCAACACCATTTATGAATGAGGTTATCCTAAAACTTTACTAGTTTTATTTTAAATGTTTAGAGCTTGCTTAATAACTTTTGCTTAGAACGAAAAAAATTTTTCAGAGTAGAAAGTTAAAGTGATATCTCTGAATCATGAACACCTTAATTTTTCCGCCTTGAAACGAGTTTTTCCAAATTATTTCTTTCCTAATTAACTAAGAATATGTCTTTACAACAGTGCAACAGCATTGTAGGACCAGGTATGCCTGTTTCAATTGAATATGCATGTGATTTCTAAAGAAAAAAAGCGACTACGAAAACTGTATGAAGGACTAGATATGAGTAAGGATGCAACCATCGACGTTGGAGATTTGACAAATGCGTTCAAGCAGAAGACTCCTCTTATACCAAGTGGTGTTATACCAGTAAGTTTTATACATTTAACGCACTGGTTACGATTTTCTGTGTAAATGAAATTTGAGGCAGTATTCTTACCATTAAAGAATAATTAAATAATCGCAGTTCTTTAGTAACAAGAATTTGCATTTATTTAAATTGTCTTTTTGAAATTTTCTAATTTGAATTCTTAGGAATTGTTTCCTCAAATGGATTATTTAAATGATGACATAACATTTGCGGAACTCGTCCAACATGCTATCGAGCATGAAAAGAAATTGGAAATCATATTCCGAGATTTAGATAAGAATAAAAACGGTAGTTCTTCCTTTTTATGTCACTTCCAGTTTTCTAAGAACTTTTTCTGATTTAAAAAATCAGGGTGGTTGGTTCCTGTTTTTTGTCGCATTCTTAAATAGATTTGTGGTATATATACTTTATTTGTTTTTCAAGCATTCGCCAGAGAAAAAGCTTTTTTTGAAGGTCATATCGGTGTGCAAGAAATCAAAAAATACTGTGAAGATCTTGGTCTTCCAATAACCGAAGCAAAAGTACAAGCAATTGTTGAATGGTAATTGTTTCTTGGTAGGAATGAAGTTTTTTTTAAATCATAAAGTGAGATAAATCAGACACTTGGATTAATTTTGAAATTGTTTGCAAAAAGATTCTTGTGTACTTTAGAAAGATGGAAATATATTAATATAACCATATTGCAACTAACCACCGATTGTAACGGATTTGTTAGCAAGTGATTCCATGCATAGTGTATTTACTCTTTAAAGTTTGAGAAGAAAATTCAATGTGTTTCTGGTTCAGGATGTCGCGCACAAACTCAGCTTCTGTGAATTTCTCAAAACTCAAGAATTTTATGTTGCTTTATCCGCGATCAAAACCGGAAGAAATTGCGAAATTTTGGAAGCATAATCTGGTTAAATTTTAATATGAAAATGGTTGAGCACTACTGGCTCATTTTTACATTCAAGTTTATCTAAATTCAAAAACAGCAAGTTTTGCAATACTGATTTATCATTCTCTGTTGATTTATCTCTGCTATGTCTCAGATGATTTATATCGGCGAAGATAGCCAGATGCCTGAAGATTTTTCGCAGCAAGAAATCGCTTCAGGATTTTGGTGGAAACATTTGGTAGCTGGTGGAATCGCAGGATGTATGAGTCGAACATGTACGGCACCGTTAGATCGAGTGAAAATTTATCTTCAAGTGAGACTTTTCAGTGTTTTTTTTTTTTGCACTGTTATAGAGTTTATATGCTTAGTATAATTCTTTGAAACATTTCCTAACTTAGGTCCATGCAACCTTACTCAACCGTTTACGATTTCCAAAGGCAGCAAAACTTTTATACGAAGAAGGCGGATTGAAGTCTTTTTGGCGGGGAAATGGCGTTAATATCGCGAAAATTGCACCCGAATCAGCTATCAAATTTTTTTCTTATGACCTTGTATGTTTTTTCTCATGGCAAGAATTATAGTATATTTTATAACAGAAATTCCTGTCTTGTATAACACTATTTCAGATTAAGCGACTTATCGTTAGGAACAAAGATGAAGGTTACAAGCTTCAGATATTTGATCGACTTGCTGCCGGTTCTGCCGCAGGTGTAGTGTCCCAAACGGTGGTTTATCCTTTAGAAGTGTGTCTTTTTCGTTATTTTTGTTTCTTTTATTCATCATAGCTTTTCAACTCCTACATTCTAAACTTTTATTTTAGCTTCGAATTTTCTTATTAGAAATTAGTAATTTCTTAGGTTTTCCGATTTTCAGGTGTTAAAAACACGTTTAGCATTACGGCGCAGCGATCAGTTGGATAGTGGTTTAATCGATCTTGCAGCTAAAATGTACAGAAATGAAGGCCTTCTTTGTTTTTATAAGGTAAAATACTAGACTGTAATTTCTAGCAAATCCAGTTTATATTCGAATAAATTTTTTCATTTTACGAAAATATTTTGTGGTTTAATCGGTATCGTTATGTTTTTAGGGTATTGTTCCCAATCTTATTGGCATTATTCCTTATGCGGGTATTGATTTGGCGATTTATGAAACGCTTAAAAGTTATTATTTGAATAGTTACAATGCTCATCCGATTCGCGATATCATCGCTCTTCCTATCTGTGGTGCCTGCAGTTCTATTTGTGGTATGGTAGCGAGTTATCCGTTTGCTCTCGTAAGAACACGATTGCAAGCTCTATGTATGCTTTATTTCATTTATAGAGCTAAATTGTACACTTAGTTAATTTTACTTTATTTTGTATTAGTGCAATTTTTTACTTTTTAGCTTTCTTATTTGCTTAGTGATGAAAACGATGTAATGCAGTCTAAATCTCTATTATCTGTTTATCAAACATGAAGTTATCACTGTGATACAAGATATTTCAGCGATATCGGATAATTTGACTCAACCAGGTACCATGAATGGACAAATACAATACATTTGGAGGAATGATGGACTATGTGGTCTTTATCGGGGACTAACTGCGAATTTAGTGAAAGCTGTACCTGCAGTAGCCATAAGTTATTGTGTTTATGAACATGTGCGTATATGGTTGGGTGCTCCGATGATGTAGATATATGTTTATATATTTACTTTTTATGTAATTTTTGTCATGTTCTTATAAAAAATTCAAATCATTGTTTATATAATTTCATTATCAATACGTAAAACGGATCATATCACATTTGTATTTTCTTTTTTCCGTAAGAGCATTCCTTTATTGCCTCATTTTTTGTACTTTCTCTACAAAAGTTTGCATTTTCATTTTTAATTTTAACTGTCCAACCATTCAGCGCGATATGCCTTGTATAAGACGTGACTCATGCCACTACTAATTCGTTCAATCTCTCTGTTAGTTGGATCACTGACGCAGGGTTTTCCTTTCATAGTTGAACAAAAACTGGAAATTTGAGAATTTTTGAATAGTTTCCTCCAGGAATTGTTTTTGATTAAAAAGATAGTTGTTTTCTTATTACCTAAATTGAACCCCTTTACATATCCGTTTTTTGAATAATTTTCATGTGATTTGTATTGTTTCAAAGTTTATTATTGCTCTACAATGAACTTTCGATAGCTTGTTTTAGGAAATTTGGAAGTTAGCGATCACATATTTTACTTTTTTGGCTTTAGTAAAATTTCTGTTGATTAAAATGGATTTCTTATTTGGAAGTAGATAGAATTTTTTCAATTTAAAATTGTCGAAGTTAAGAAATTAGGAGATTCTTATTTGATGAAGACATACTTAAGCGAGACTTGTTCATATTATTGATTTTCTTATTTCATCTAATTTGAAAATGCATTGTTGAAATGATTACATTTAATCATGATGATTTTTCTACAACTTCGGTTCGTCATTTCTGTAAAGAATGTGTTCAATTGATGTTTGATAGTTCTTTGAAATCAAGAAAATATTTGCTTCAGACAGTGCAAGACTACTTTGATAGATTTGAATGTGATATGAAGATTGAAAATTTTCTGTTGAATCTGTGGTATCTGAACAAGTGAAGAAAACAGATGCAATATAGTGAAGAAAATAGAATGTGTGCCAATTTGAGGTATTTATTTTCATAATTTCAGATGAGGAGCTTAAGGGATACAGGTTTGCTGTTTCCAAGTACGTTCAGTAGCGATGAGAAACGTTTGAAGGAAATATTCGAGAAATTGCGGACCATTGTAGGTTTCTATTCATATGGTTTGATGTTTTAAAATAAAAAGATTTGATATATTGATATTTACGTGATTGGGGTGATAATAATTATAAACATGCTGTGCTTAGGGGCAAAATCGTATGCTGTTAAATTAAGCTTCTTGCAAATTATGAGTCTGAGATGATAAAGTTGTTGCGAGTTGGGTATTTTTGAAGCAGTTGGATATATTTTAACAGGAACTTTGGGATATAAAAATATATTATTGTTTGAATTAATATTATCTGAAAACTCCTCAATTGATAAAGGATTTTCAGCGAAAGGCGATAGCAGCAACAAACAAAGTGAATGTTAATGCAACAGTTGGTGATAACCTCAAGACTGAGCGCAAAACAACCAAAAGACGTATGAAATTCTTTTTCTCGAACTTTATAAAAACAATTTTCATGTTTTCCAGTGATTTTGATACGCTTTCTGTTCGAATTAGAAGTGGAACCAAAAGAACGAAAATTATTGCATTGAAATACAAAAGTTATATTTGTTTTATGAATAATTGGAAATTTTACGTTTTTCTTCATTTCAGACCTACAACAAGCGGAAGAAGCTACGGAAGAAGTGAAACGCAAAGTTTTGATTGGTGCTATGAGTTTTAAGAAGGTCGATGAACGGAAGGATTCATTCAAACGATCAAGTTTAGTTGGCAGACGCCGAGTAAGATTTTTGTGACGATTACTTTAAAATTATTCCAATATTATTTGTTCCAGATATCGTTGTTGAAGTTATGTTTTATTTTTCAGGGTAGTGGCAAAGCAAAAATTGATAGTGATACGGTAGGTTGTGTTGGGATATTATTTAATGTCTTTACATATTCTTTTACTTCATATTTTATACTTTTACCTCATTGTTTTGTTTTATTCTAAAGTGTAACCAAAAATTTACGATGAATTATACCACTGTATTTCAAAAAAAATTACATCCATTTAAAAGCCTATGGGAAGACTGTTTCTACTAGTTGTAGAAAAAAATTCTCGCGTTTTTGGATATTTATCCAGAATTTTCTGTTTCTGTTTCTGGCTTAGAAGTTTTTTTCTTTCTAAATGTTTTAAGTGATCAGTTTGATTTTTATCCAAAATTCAATAGAAATCTCAGTACTACACTGTTTTTTGATCTAAAGATACGACCCAGAAAATCGTTATATATATTTCTCCTACAGGTAATTAACAGTAATACGGAGTTCTTACCACCGAGTGCTGATAATGGTAACAACAAACCACTTTCCTCGGATGATCATTCTGGGACGAAAAAAAAGTCAGAAGAACCATCAGACAGTTTGGATACTCATAAATCGCCTATTGATTTTGATACTGGGAAGAGTGCTGCATCGAATGTTCCCGGCACGTCAGGATCGAGTTCCACATCAAAAAGGATTTTAGCTAGCGGAACTTCGAGTAGTTCTGATACTTGTGTATCTGTAGCATCAGATACTTTTGATACTTATAAGGCTCGAGATGGTTCAAGCTCATTCGACAACTACAAACCAATAAACCTTTCTGATAGTGGTGATTTCGATGCCAGCGGACCATCTCCTTTTGATATCTACAAACCTACATCTATCGGTGGCAATGAATTTGATAATTATAAATCAGGATCAGCACAACCGTTTTCTTTTGATACAACTAGCGGGTCATCACCGTTTATTGGTTTTGAGCGGCCGAAACCATGTAGGGCAAGTAACTTGGACATTTTCATAGAGATTAGTCAAGTTGCTTTTATCATTATTTTTCAAAAAAACTTTTGATATGGTTCGAAGAAATTTTACAGTTGCGGTATTTCCTCTGTTTTAGGGTCCTTGTTTATACATTCGTGGATACGATTTGGTAGCAGATTCTTTACAGAATGTGTTCAGTAAATATGGTGTTATCAATAGAGTTTTTGTGGAGGAACGTCAAAAGTACGTCTGTAACTTATTATCATCTTTAAGATAGTGGACGATGGCAGTTTGTTATTCTAAATATTTTTGCAGAGATAGTTCTAGATAATTTTTGCTTTTGTTTCAAAATTTGTAAATCTTCAGGAGTGCATTCATTACATATGCCACAACGGAGGAAGCGGAAGCTGCAATAAAGGAAGTAAGTACCTGTGATAGTTGTTACATGAGGTACAATGATTGGGAAGAATGGTTAAAAACATTTTTATATTTGAAATGTCAAGTTTAGGTTTTATATTATGATCAGCTGTTATTATGTTGGTCGAACTGCATGAATGGTATTTGCTTTTGGTTAATGAATGGATTTTTGACTATTTTTGTTAAATTTCAAAATAAATTTTAATTTTTTTTTTGAAATGGAGCTTTACTTTGAAATTTTTGCAGTTTATTTTCAGATGGATGGAAATATGGTTAATGGGATCACATTGCGTGTTTCATTTGCACGCCGTCAAAATCAGTGTGGTGATTCTGGACACTTTCGGTCTAGTGAATCATTTGATAGGGGAAACGATGGTGATGAAAAAAATTATTCTAACCGTTCTCGAAGCGAAAGAAGTGGCCGCTTTCTGGGTAATGAACGTATTCGTTTCCGTGGCGAAAAAAGCGGACGAGGTCGTGGTCGAGGACGTATGTGTGAAAGCGGAGAATCTTTGTTGTCAACAGCTTTCACTGAAACTAGTGATGATTTTTGGTCCAAGAACAAATCATCAAATGATGAGTCGACAGTGCAGGCATCTCGTGATAAAGATGATTTCTGGTCAGCAAGAAGACTGTCAACAGGAAGAATGAGTGAACCAAACGTTGAAAAGGATAAAGAAGGGAATGGTTTTGATACGTATAAATCAGCAATATCTGCAGGTGGAGGGGATGATTTGAATGTTAGTAATAATGAAGACGATGATTTTGATATTTATAAATCATTTAGTGATGAAGGAGGTAATAGTTCCAGTAATTGTCAGAAGAATTTAGGAAAAAGGCGCGGCAATTACGAGCATCTGAGGGATGAAAGACAAGGCGGTTTCTGTGATGATAGATATCGCAATTTTCGAGGTGGTCGACGACACAATGGAATACCTCCACGAGGCAGTAGAAATCGTGGGGGTCCATTGTGGTGGTCGAGAAAGCAGAGCAATGAGCTGAAAGATGTTAATTATTGCTCGACTGATAATTTTAATACTGGACGGGAGAGCTCATGCCTAACGGGAGATGAGAGTGAAGACAAGGGTGAACATAGCAAAAGTGATAGTGCTAATCGAGAGAGCGAATCACTGGGAAAAAATGATGATGGCAAGGATGATTTCGGGCCCTCGTGTAGTCGTCGGTCTAATTATGAAGGTGGCGAGTCGTGTCCTTTTTCTGTTGCAAGATCAGGTAGCGACCAATCGTTTCGAAGAAGCACAGGAGGGGATTATAGAAGCGGAAGAAGAGGTGGAAATCGAGGCGGAAGGTTTCGACGACAGCGTTGCGATATCGACAATAAGAGTACATGGTCCGATGAAGAAGGCAAATCATGTTACGATGAATGGCCTGATGTTAATAGCAGGCCTTTGCGGGATTCATGGTTTGCATCCGTCGGTGATAAGATGCCCAATTCTCCTCCACCTCCTCCACCTATGTCTGAAGTTCAGGTAGCGTGGAGTGAAGCCAGTAAGTCTTTCTACTTTAAGTATCATTACTAAATATATTACTTGAAAGTTCAAATTTTTCATTCTTTTAAACCTGTGAAGATTTTGTCTCCGATGGTATACATTGTTTTCAGCGTATGCTGTCAGCTGGGTGCAAGAAATTACTCTAAAATATAAATTAGGAGGTGTTGTTAAATTGTGAATAATATTAGGTAGTCAAATCAAATTATCCATTATCGAAGGGTTGATGAATCTATTTTTTTGTACTGACCCGTCACTATGTCTTGACCATTAGCTCTTTTTTGTTTACGTCAACACGATCTCATCGCACAATTCACATCTTTATTTGTGAACAATAACCAGTCAAATGGCCCATTTGAATCCTTTTTTGTAAAATCATGATCAATACAAATAGTCAGTTCATTTACCACGGACTATTGGTCGGATAATTTCTTAATTCATTAGAAGAAATTTCCTTGTCCATTTCATTATGCGAATACATTCCACGCAGCAGGATATTTTACCTTGTAAAATTAAAAAAGCCAACGCCCTCTATGCAAGGTCAAAGGCCTTTTGTATTACTTTGTCTTGACCACTAGCCCCTCTTTGTTTGGTTCCACGATGTCATCCACATTGGATGTCTTTATCTGCCCTAACAACAATCAGGCAAATGGTCCATTTGAATCAAAAGAAGAAAAAGCAAACGCTGATCCTTTGCAAGTTGTTATTGAATTTCGCGGCTCATATTTTCATTAAATTGTAAATTTTCGTCTGTGTTTGCCCGTCGCAGAATATTTGGTCAAGTAGTCCTCAAGATTTCAAATGAATAGAGAATAGAGAACTTTCCGCAAGCAGGAGAATTAAGTTAACTAGCTAGACATGTTCTAAACAGTTGAGATGAATGATCTTACTAAGTCTACAAAAATGATTGTTTTGAATGTGTCTTTTGATGTAACTCATTGCATGTTTCTGCAATCTGCAAATCTCGAGGCTTTTTGATGAAGATAAGGTTGATTGGTAGAGGCATTTTGCTGGTTTATCCGTTGGGTTGCACTGATAAATCAGTCATTACATTATGGAGAATATTGGAGTTTTATTGAATGATAAATTTTGTTTTCACTATGAAAATTTTCGTGTGACTTTTATAGATAAAAATTATTTTTCCAGCCAAGAAGACATCGAAGGGGACGGCAGCAGCAACAAAAAGGGAAGAAATAACTGCAATGCAGCGTAAACTAGAAATAAGGAAACAAGTGTCGTATGATGAGGATGATCCGTTTGCTTGACATCTGCGCAGTTTTTTTAACAAGTTCAAGGATAAGATGATTTTGAATACATGTTCAGTTAAAACTGATGTTTTGATTTTTCTCTAACTTTCAATTGTAAAGAGTACTGAAATTTTTGAGTAACGATTGAATATATTTAATCGCTGCAACAGTCTTAATTCAGTCTTAATTCCACCAGTTCATTTTTTTCAGTCGTGAACTATTACATTTTGTCTACTGGTTCTGGATTTCTTTGAAAATTTTGCTTGATTTAAAAATTTTTGTCGCTCGAAGATTACTACTTTTGTGAGGTATGTAAATCTTAAAGTTTAAAATTTTTAGTTTTGTTTATTATGAATGATCTTTGAAATGATAGTAGTTTAGTACGATGTGATTACGAAATAGAGGTGATAAGGGAATTAAGCTAAATGAGAGAAGGGTAAATTATAGTTCCATTCAATAAGTTTGTTCACCAGTCTTTTTTTAATGATTTTTAATGATATTGGACTTATCTTTGGCTGAAATCTCTTCTCAAAATTTCAGTTTGCTTATTTTTTGCTTCTTTGTTTAATTCTTTTATTGAAATGAATGTTGACCTTATCCTTTAACTCTTTTAATGTGCATCCCCTAAAAACGTTTTTTACGATGTTGAACATTCTCAAAACATTTGGAGCGTCTATAGTTTGATCGAAATTTATCTCCTCCTTTTGTGTTATTTTTTTAATGAAAATCATAGATCAAGCCTGACAATAATTACTTCATAACTGTTGAATTTATTCTGATATTCTTTATGTGTCGCTTGTGTAAGTAGCATCAAAAAATAAAACTCAAATCTGTTAAAACTGCTGTATTTTTTATTTCCAAATAGTTTCTGATCAATGGTGATTATGCGGTATTATACGTGTCGGTATAAGTGATTTTGAATGATGAATTACTTTAGGAAATGGTTTCGAAAATTTTTATCAAGGTTGATCAGGAATGGAATGATATCATTGAATTAATACTCATTGCTGCTTATTGTATATAAAATTGAAATAACCGGTCCGGAAATATTGAGAAACGTTCCATTCAGTACCTTCGTCCGCTTTCCCATATAATAAGTGGAATGTCTTAGGCCTCTATGAATTCATTGAAATCAACAGTTGTATATCCTTCGAAATACTGTGTTTTGCTTCTTCTAGTATATCTTCAATTCTCGATGTTCTTTTTTTTGTCGAAAAACGAATCATACAGAGCGAAGAAATATTCAGGCTTTTTTGGCTACGTATATTAGAATATTTAAAACACTACCGATTTCAATGCCATAATCCATTTTTAAAAAGAGCAAAAATTGGGTCATCTGTTTCTTCCTTTTTCATTTCCTCTTCATTCATTTCCTCTCCGAAAAACGGTGAAAGTTGCAGAGTATACAAGAGTTGAATGAATATTTCAGACTAAATCAAAAGATTATAGCAAGTGATAATTTGCTTATTTTCTGTCAAGTTGGTCATAGAAGATGTTGAGTATATATTTTCTAAAGAATTAAATCCGCAGTTCGTTTTCCTATAATTATTATAGAACTGTAACAAGACTCATAATGATCTGCAAAAGAAATTAGAACTTTTAGGAAGGAAAAGTTCATTTAAATATAGAAAGTTTGCGAATTGAATTTATTATTGATAGGTGGTTAATTTATTGGATATTATCGAGTACGTGTTTGTTTGTTACTTATCTATATTTAAATGAATTTCTCCTATTTGTAAAAATAAGAAGAGTAATTCTATAAATGGATATATCTGTATATATGTGTAAATACAGATATTGGATAAGTCCAAAGTCATCGTAGTTTATCTAATTATGGTAGTGTTTTAAATGATACTTATAAAGGAAATCAAGAAATTCATTTTCTATTTGTTAAAATGAATATTTGCCACAATAATTGCTATTATTAGCTCACCTTAATTCAAAAAAAAGTCAATGAATGCACTGACCAATTAGATTGTCTTTAAAGTGATTACTTCAAAACGATTATTTCAGTTTTTGAAATGGATGGTTTCTGAGTGAACAAACATGGGATCAATTATGTTCGGCATAACTAATGATTGGGCAATTGTGATCATGACGACCTTGTTTTCCTCATTTCCTTTTTTTGATGTGTGTATGTGTAAATCTTAAAGTATCGGCTTCCGAATTGCTGTTTACGTAAACAAACACGAGAAAAATGTTTAGATGTAAACAATGACAATGATGACAAGGACATTGATAACTTTAGGTTTGCTGTATACATTAATGACAATGTCGATAGTAGGATATTGTCGAGAAAGGGTTGAGCGAGAGTGCACCTCCGTACACACACACACACATATACACACATTCGTTACCAGTAGTGGTTCATTGAAGTAGTGTTGGTGCAGGCTGTCTCGTCATTTTGGCTGTTTCGTACCAGTCGTTGTCACCTGGTTAGGTCCCCATTCCGCTTGACCTTAGCGCATTTCGTTTCTCTCTTTTCCTCCATTCCACCAAATACACTTCGTCTTTTCGGCTTCGCCTTTAAACAACGTCTATTTTGAAATTCTATTACAGTTTTCCTACTAATTATTCATTTTCATCGAATTTCATTTATTATTAATAATTAGTAACTTGTTATGCCAAGTAATTATCAGCAGAGATGTACTAATTTCAAGCGATAATTAGCAAATTGATTGAAGATTTAGTAAGCTTTAATCAATTTGCTAATTATAATAAAGTTCGCAATAAACAAATGTATACCTTACTGTTCTTCTTTTGATTGAACATGCCAATCTTAAAAAGTAAAGTTTAACAATTAAAAAAAGTTTATTCCTCATCTGCGCTGTTTTGTTCCTTCTCTTTTTGAGATATTTTTTTGAGTGATTTTGTTAAATTATTCCAATTTCATTATGGAAAAATATTATCATTTATGTTAGCTTTCTTAAATAAAGCAAATATGAAAATAGAATGAACAGACATCTATCTAATCTATGCAGAATAATTTAACAGAAATGCGGTGGGATACATATTACTGTGAAATTTAAATATTTATAAAATGAATGAAAGGCACTGCTAAAGCTTAATGGACGTTGATAGATGCGCAATAAGATCATCATCTGATCTAAACTATATTTATTTAACCGATGTCATTCATTATCTGTCGTTGAATTTTGGTTTTTTTTTTAGCAAATTCAATTCAGTGTGATTTTTAGTCCATCTTAGAAGTTAATGTTGAAAATTAAGGAAGAAGCATGGCGAAAAAAAGATGCGCTAAATTTGTGTGGTTGTTGAAATTGATTTGTATTTCAGGCAGATGGTGATCCTTTGCGCCGCATTAATTTTTTTCCCATTGTTTCTTACCTCATCTCATTTCCTCTTTTCATTCTTTCTTCTTTGACGTTTCTTTGACGTGAAACGCAAAGTTGATTTGATGTGTGTATATGTCTGATTTATCAGAGATCTATTTGATTTTTTTTGATCACCATAATTATGTTTTTTGGTTACTGTAATTCTCTTTGATTACTGTAATTTTAACAAATTGTTTAATATGCTTTGATTATAAATAAAACGTTTGAATAAAGAATATTACATAAGCTGCATGATATTTTTGGATTTTTTTTTGCTTTCTAGGGTAATACCAGATTTATTGGGGGTAAATGGACCTATGCCCACCGGATTGGTTCGATTCGAACCTAATAACAACACCAACATCATTTGACTTAATCCAAAATGGAGCTCGAAACAAGAGAAAGCGTGAAACGACGTACCGAAATGGTGTCAGTGATCTGGAACAACCGGAGGAACAATTCAGCCAGGTGTTAAATAACTACTTCCATTTTTCGAATCCAACCAGTACCACGTGGTTCCAGCAAGGTTTGCCTTCTGAGCTGTTTTTGTTACAAAATTTTCGCCTTCCTTAACAGATATTGAGAATATCTGTTATAATTCAATATTTTGTCGTAAATTATCTGCAGTAATATCTGAAATATCTTAATTACTAGCAATATTAAAATTTGAAATATCATTTTCGTCATAGAATTAGTTACGGAAAATTGATGACATGCCTCTAATTAATTATTTTAACATTTCACCTGGAAATTACCTTTATGTTATTTGTTGGAATGTTTTGTTAAATATTTTCCAAGGTTTTTGAAGCTTCTGTCTTCAATTATTTATATTATATCGTGTATCATGTGAGATAAATATGATTTTAGATAAAACAGAAGCAAAATTTTCAGAAATTAGAATAAGCACTGTTTCTTCTTTATTTTCAAATTAGTCATAAAACAATTTTATTCTACCACACAGATGCGGCAATTTTCTGTATAATATTAAAAGAGCACACTAAATAAAGGCGAAATTTCAACAAATTAAAGTGGAAAAATAAAGAAATATTCTGTACCCAATTGGCATTTCGAAATAAATCGACATAAATCATTTAATTATTTTGCCTAATTTATTCGTTTGTTATATCATCAATAATCGAAAACTTTTCCCAATCATTTTAAAATCAATGATGATTAACACTTCCTTGAACGATTTCGTGCGGGAATGTAATAATTTTTCTGGGTACAAAGCATTTCTTCATTTTCCTTTGAAGATTAGGAAATGTTATTCCTTTATTATCATTTCTAAGAGATTTTCTGATAAGGAATCCTCAATCTTAGCTCGCACATTCCCACTTCGATAAAACGAGATTGTTGTATACTCAATGAAAGATGAATCTTTTAGCAATGCAAGATTTTGCCAAATATAATTTGGAAATCCTCAGGTTACAAAAATGTTGGAGAATAGTGAAAAATCAGAAGATCAATTTTAGTAAATTTCGAAACTGGATCTTGAATTTAAATTGAATTTGAATCATTGACCTCTACAATTTCTAATGCATGCAAGAGAAGACGATATTGAAAATTCAGCAGCGTAACGTATTACTTCCTTTCTTTTGTAACAAATTTCTCTATTTTATCAGTCATCTACGATTTAATGTTTGTTTTGCTATTTTTTTTGAAAGTTGAAATAATTTTTTACCTGCA